TTGAAATTTTGGCAGATTAACAATTCATCCTCTTTTGGAAATTGAAAATTTCGAGGAATTATTAAGCTTAATCACCAAAAAGCTTGACCTTTTGGTTTTCATTGTTTTTTTTTTTTTTTATATATTTGGCCAATAATTTTAATTTTGTCAATGAGTACCTATTATTTATTTTTAATTGTCAATTCTGACTTCCATTCAGAGTTTAATTTGGTGTGATCAAGTAATGCAGTTCCAAGAACGTAGAAGCCTACTTGGTAGACCTCGGGTTGCTCACAATGTAAATTACTCGTAAAAGTCCATTAAGAGTGTTTAAGTGTATAACCATATCAAATTATTTCAAGTTTGAGGTGACATATAAATGAAATTATCTCAACAATATAATATTTTAATTTAGAGATGATAAAAGCAAGGACGAACGGTAACAAATGGTCATGCGAATAGATGTGAACTCACGTAACCAACTAACGGCTGAATAAGTAATAAACTTACATACTCCGATTGGAGGCTGTAAATGACAATAAAAAATAAATTTGAAGTAGTAATTGACAAAATAAAAAATATTGGTTAAATTTGCCAAAAACATCAAAAGGTGATTTAGCCAATTATTAATATACAATTTAGGATTTTTAAGTATACAAAAAGAAAAATAAGAACAAAAATTATAGTTAAACTAACTTTTTTTTTTTCAAATTGTAAAAAAAAAAAAAAAAAAAAAAAAAAAAAAAAAAAAAAAATTTATAGTTAAAACCTACTTTTTTTTTTTCAATATTGTAAAAAAAAAAAAAGAAAAAACAAAAAAAAAAAAAAAAAAAACCATTTTGGGTTACAATAAAAAAAAAAAAAAAAAAAAAAAAAAAAAAAAAAAAAACATTTGGGTTTACAATTTTGGAACCTGGAATATAATAAATGTATAACTATATATTTATAGTGATGAATCTGCAATCCTCAGGTGGCAACAGTATGTGGAATCACATGCAAGGAATAACAATTAATCAATTATAATGAATTTAAAGCTTTGTTTTTGTAACAGAATCCAAAAGCATTCAGTCGAAAACGGTTGAGGTTGGCTGAATGCGGCAAAGGGTTCTGTATTTCTTTTAATATACGTAAATATAAAAAGTTTTCATACTAAATAATTTTTTTTTTTAAAAAAATCACATGTCAAGCTCAAAGTCTCAAGTTGTTCCTGAAATTATTTTAGTGTCACTAATAAATAATTCATCACCAAGAAATTCCATGAGAAAACTTTCTGAGGTTATAAGGGTTTTTAATTTTCTGTGTAGATAAATATTCAAAAAAAAAAAATATTCAATCCATCATTCTATAATTTTATCCTTCTTTTGTTCTGATAAATTCACCGATTAATTCCTGAAATTTAATTCTTCCGCTCAAAAAGTATTGTTTTAGAAATTAAATATTCTGTAATTTTTAAAAAATTGCTGCGGAACACAATTTTAAAATATAAATATAATAGCCAACAAGTAGAACAAATGAAATATCTGCATCAAGGTTATGTTAGGACATTAACATGTGTTATGAGGTTATTGATGGACCTATTATTTGCCAAAAGTGTGTCCCCATCGCTATGCCCCAGCTTGTTCACTGATATGTCATTCTGCTTAACTTTAATGCCAAACATATCAAGCTCTGGCTGTAGCTATACCTAGTTTTTAAACTCCGATTGGACAAATATAGGATGTTCAGCTCAAAGATAAAGCTCATAATGCATAAAAAAAAAAAAAAAAAAAAAAAAGTAGAATGTTGGTCAGTCAAAGATAAAGCTCATAATGCACACTAAAAAAAAAAAAAAAAAATCATTTGCTTATAAAAGGTAGAATCACTATGGCAGGATATACAAAAAGGCTGCCCTTTCTTTTGGGTGTTAATCTTTGTCTATTAATTTTTAATATACATACTAAAGTCCAATTAATGACTTGCAAAATAGTCATCAATGACTATATAGAAGAGAGAATTAAGATTATTTATTTATTAATTTTCACAATGCAAAAAATACTTAAAAATACTAATAACACAGTCCTTAACGAATACAAGAAATATAATAGAAAAAATGAAGAGAAAACACAAAAATATAAGTCACTGACTATAAGCTTATTCTATCATATGAATAATTATATTGTTATTTCTAAGTAGAATAAACAGAAATTTAACTTGTATAAACAGAAAATTCTAATACTAATTAACTAATAAAGCTCTGAGGTTAAGCAAGATTTAATAACACATGTTACGGTGATTTAGAATTTGCATATTTCTTTCTTCAAATTATATTAAATTAAAGAACACTTAAATAAATTATCTGGAAGATTTATGTGATATTTCTATGATATGTTAAAAAAGGGTGGGTTGAAATCTGCTTTTTTTAAAATCTTCAAAATCCTTTTTAAATAATCATTCAAAAAAAAAAAAAAAAAAAAAAAAATCATTTGCTTATAAAAGGAGATCACATGGCAGATATACAAAGGCTGCCCTCTTTTTGTAATCTTGCTATTAACTTTTATTAATTAATAACTAAGTCCAATTAATGACTTGCAAATATCCATCAATGATTATAGAAAGAGAGAATTAGATTATTTATTTATTAAATTTCCATGCAAAAATACTTAAAAATACTAATAACACAGTCCTTAACATACAAGAAATATAATAGAAAATAGAGAAAAAAAAAATATAAGTCACTGACATAGCTATGTCTATCATTGAATAATATATTGTTTTCTAAGTAGAAAACAGAAATTTACTTGTATAACAAATTCTACTAATTAAATAATAAAGCTCTGAGGTTAGCAGATAATAACACAGATACGGGATTTAATTTGCAATTCTTTTTCAAATTATATAAAATTAAAGAACACTTAATATAATATTATTGGAAGATTATGTGATATTTTATGATGTAAAGGGTGTTGATTGCTTTTTTAAAATCTAATCTTTGTATAATCATTCAAGGAAAGGAGGGACACAAGTCCTGTCATCCCAGTTGAATGGCATATTCTCTTTTCTTTTCTGTTTCTTTAATATCACTTCCACAGATTCATTCCTCCTCTCTATTTCTTTTTCTTTTTTATGTATAACTTTCTATATTTTTAGAACTATATTATGTAATTTTCCTTGAGTTAAATCTGCAATTTCTTTAGTTTTCTTTTTAAATATTTGTTTAGTAGGAATGAATTGAAGGTGCAAACTTCCAAAATTTTTTATAATTTAATCTTCTATGTTTGTTAGAAGATTTGCTAGAATAGTTACTTATTATTATAAAAAGAAAACTATCCGTTACGTGGTTTTGTTAAGTCACAGCTTTTCACGTGATGTTTAGTATTTTGATTTGATCAAAATATAATTTTTAAAATTTACAATATTCAGTGACGTGATGTTTATACCAGTGTTTAGAGTTAGAAGAAACATACTCCATGTACCATTTATTAAATACATTAACTATGGCTTACCTTAATGACTTAAAATCTTCACTAAAATATAGTTTATTTATTTATTTTGATTTTGTCCTACGTAACGGTCAATTTTGGGATCTACCGTAGAAAGGTAAACTTTTTTATTAACATTGCACGAATAACATAAAGATATTTGAGTCTTCATATTAAGTGGAAGAATGGTGACCAGAAGAAAGAGCTTATGTCAATGGAATCGAGACATCCCTGTGGTGATAACGTTACAGCACAGCACAGCACAAGAAACAGCCCAGCTGAAATGATAATCCTAATTTAAATTATTTTAAAATTTTGAGAAAAATATAGAAACTTCTTTTATAATTTGTTTTCTATTATCCAATTGGGTTCTATAAATAATTCTTTTTTAATGTAAAATATCTTTAAAAGATAATTATTGAAATAAAATAACACTTCAGTTTATGTTAACTAGATTTGATTTTAGTTTAGAGTCCATTTTTATATTGTATTTAATATTAAAATAGATGTGAATTTTTCTTCCAAATAAAAAACTAACATAATATTTAATTTTTTTTTTAATTTCAAAAAAAAATCTTATTTATTTCAAATATTAATATATCCAATGACCTCTTAAATTACTTGAATGTAAGCTTTTATATAATTAGTTAGATTAACAATTTACAATTGAAGAGAAGAGAAAAGATAATTGTGACTTCATTTTATTTGGATTTTAATTAAATTATACTCTTTATAGAATATTCTAAATTCACACTCAATTAATGTTTCTGTTTTCTTTTTCGAATTAATGAATCTATGCTGATAAAAAGGACCAAATGAGTTTAACAACTTCAAGAAAACTTATATGTATTATGTAACTCAAAAATCACATTTCCAAATATTTCCAATCAAACCCAAAGGTGAAGTTAAAGGCTACTCATCTTTATTCCCTATTACTATATTTGCTATCATTGTGTGAATTCCTTAAGCTAAGAAATTGACCATCTATGCAACAATTAATCATAAAGCTTTGCTAAATTGCACAAGTTTGTGTCTGAAACAATTTGTGCACATTTACAATTATATCCTTAGTGTAACATCAACAATATCTAAACTGTTAAAAAGTTTTTTAAGGGTATTATAGTCTTTTCGCTCATGTTGGACCCGACGCAAATTGTGTGAAAACTGAGACAAATTAGAAACTATATATGAGACTATGTTTGGTAAATCATAATATGTGGAGAAATAGTGATGTAAGAAGCAAATCCAAGCTAAAAATATACATCTTCAGGGACCTATAGTTTAGTCTTTCAAATATTATAAACCAAGATGGCAAGTTGACAACTACATGCAAAAAGTTAACTGACTAACATAGGAAAATTTTGCTTCTCTACGATAAACTATAGATCCTATAAGCCTAGCTTCCTTAAACATGTAATATATCTTCGTCAATGATTTAAATGGATAAATTATCATAGTTTAGCTATGTTGAGAGAGATCCAGCATCTACATCTTCCAATACTGTTCATTCCCTCCATGTGAAAAAGACTCTAGATCAACCATTATGAGAGGGGCTCAACTTCATCCTGGGCTAACAGTATATAAAAATAACAAAGTAGATGAAAATGTACATTTGAGACCATATGTTTTCTAACCAAAAGAAAGAAAAAAAATTGACAGTAGATTATGGCAGCTCTTACAACTTTCATAACAATGAGATAAAAATGATTACTCGCCGCTGGAGAATCAAATTGTTAAATCAGATGATTAGCAGACTTCACGCAACCCACATTATTACAAGAATAGTAGAAGATTACCATTAAAATAACTTACAGTGATTCAATAAATGATCAAAAAGTCATGCTACAGATAACACAAGGCTGGAAATAGAGACCGATAGAGTAGAGATCCACACCATCTTGCACATGTTTATGTCAACGCTTGTGAATGCATACTTCATTCTCGCAGCTATCCTGAGTCACACTCCTATTCATGTTAATGATGGATGATAAAATGATAAAGCATTTAAAGCGAAGAATTCAAAGATGAGATTACTAAACCTGCTGCTGGTGATTGACAAAACTTATATGGATCCACTTGAGGTTGGATTTCATGAGTTCTAATCTTTTGAAACCCGAACAATTAAGCCAGTTGGTGTATTGACAGTTTTGAGGTGACCCGAACCAATCAGGTCACGGAGGTGAAATCTAATATCAAGGGTTGACAGTCGAAGACGCTTCTTCTCTAGATTGGCCAACATCATTTCTTTGTATCTCCTGCGATTTAAAAGGGATAGGAGCTCCTTTCTACCCTGTGAATGAAGAGCTCAAAAATAATTTCTAATTCTGAAGATGATTCAAAATGTAGATGTTTTCTCGCAAGACAAAAACATTCCAAACAAACTACTCATACTCATTTCGATTCTTGTCTCAACTAAGCAAATACACAAAACCCAAAGTAGTCAATGAAACAAATTCTAGAATTTTAATCTCAGAGTAGGCTTATGTATTAAATCCCCCAGATTGCATTTCAAAATTTGGAAATTTGGGTAGATTTGTCAATGTGAATGGAAATTTGTTCAATTATGAACACCTAATATAAGGTGCGATTCAGTTCTACCACATAGATCAGTTGAAATATGCTTTTTCTTCTCCCTTATTTGCAAGAGCAATTTTTTTGTGTAATTCCAACTCAAAGCTAAATTTCATATACTTTGCATTTCAAGTTCTTTATCAAAACAAAACCTTGTACAATTTCTGGTTAGATGACTTCAAATAAAATAAAGATATAATTACTGGAACAAAAATTAAAAATCCAGGAAACTTTAGAAGATTAAATAAAGCATTTCTGTACCTGAGAAAGGCCCTTGAGTACTGAACCAATATTTGGAACTGCAAACCAGTACATGTTTGGGTCAATCAGCTGGCGAGTCTAAAAGGTAAGCCAAAGTGTTAGATTGAAAGGGAATTTGGGAGTTGTTAGGAACTTTGTCAAAAAACATATCCAAAAATATATGGATAACAGTGGATTTCATAAAGAATATTACTTGTAATAAAAAAGTTACAAAGAAAAGAAAGAAAGAGCATTCAATTTTACTCAATTCAGAGCACAACAATGACAAGTATAATACTTGTGGAGTTCCCCTTATGGACGTCGCAAGTTAGCATGTGGAAAGCAAGTTTGAAATATTTGAAAAGAACATTTGGTAAGCCATATTATAATTTGATGTGATGTAATGTACTGTAGACAAATTGATTTTTAGTGTATAGAATCTAATTATAGTTTACAAAACGAAGCCTTACTTCATTAGAACCCTCCGACAAAGCAACGAATTCCACTTTAGATATATCATCAACTACAGCACCTAACAAGTCATTGCGGCCACCTATGTCTGAGAGCCCTGACCTGGAATCCCAGGGAAAACATCATCACAAATCTACAGAAGCCTTTCCCAAAGTAAGGATAAGCTATAAACAGTAATTCATTACTAGCATATTTGAGCCCTGAATTGTGCAGGTACACTTGATCCATTCTTAGAGGAAAATTAGAAGTACGCAAAGAATCCATTGTGTAGTAGAATCCAGTAGGAAGAAGTAAAATTATCTGAATGAAAATTAAGTACAAATTTTGTTACTCCACATAAACCAAGCAGCCAACTAGTAGCATAACTATGAGCTCATTTACTTGGAAACCTCAGCTTCTACAACACCAAGGTTAACTTGGTTTTGCTCATTGACATGTAGCATAAAAGTATTTTCACAGTAATCCTAAATAATACTCACAAATCAGCATAGCATTCATCCATTCAATCAGGCACCAAAAGAAATTATAAGAAAATTTTGAAATTTGCTTACAAGGAGGCCAGCATTGATCAAAAGGGAGATTTGTTCATCCTTCAACTTGCCACCATGCGATAAGAGTCCACACTGCAATACAGAGTAATCAGTTGGGATAAAAGTAAGTGTTCCATCAAAGATGATAGAAGTTATGAAAATCCATGCCCCACACATAATGTAAAACAATCATAATGATCTGTAAGATAGTTGAAAATCAGGGCCTTCTTGTATTAAATTGGGTTCAGTAGACTTGGGTGTAATGTCAGACACTCTGCATAAACTGCTCTGCAATGTTGTTCCAAATGTTGGACATATTTTGGTCATCAACCTTCTTATATTGGGTTCAACTGACTTGTGCTTATGAATTACCATAACAAAGATGCACAACATAACTTGCAAATTTTATGCTATCTTTATACGTCTGCTTGAAGGATTTTATTTGAGTTTCATTGTTAGAAAAGAAAGACAAGCCATTCTTCATTGCTATGCATGGATGAATATGTGCACAAACACAGGTAATGAACAACTGAAGCACCATCTACACCATTAAAGTTGGCCACTATATTTTACACCCCTCTTGTTGTATTTTGAACCTAAAATACACATGAATGATAGCAAATGAACAGCACAAGCAGATTGGTGCTCATAACACTTACAAGCTCTTGATGGTCGATACTAGGTTCCAGCTTGACATCAATAACATGAGTTCTAAACCACTCAAAAACTTCAAGACCACTTTGCTTCTTCTCTTTCATTCTTTTCACAACACGTTCTATCTGCACATAGAATGTGCACAGTAGAAATTAAGTCAGCATAATGGCCGAATCTTAAAAATATTGTATTGCATGATGAATTGATCATGCTGGAGACAGACACACAGACTAACAATACTCAACACACACACCCGTTCAACTGCAAAACAGAAAATTTTACCAGGCTAACCAATGAATACTTGCAAAGACAAATTACAATGCATGTGTGCAAGGTATACTTCCAGATCATGTGGAAACCAATAATAAAATTGACCAACCTGGCTCATGTAGTCATCCAAAAACATTATGGCATGATCATCTTGTCCGGTGTTCAATTTGAAAACACGCAACAGTTTCTCTCTCCTCAGAGACTACACAACCAATTAAAGTTACTAAAATAAATCATAATCCACAAAATTAAATCGAAACACAAAGTAAAGGTACTCGAGAATAAGTCAAGTTAAGCACATGATTATTAGGATGCAATGAACAATATGAAAATTGCAGGAAAGAGGCTTAGGTGAATGAAAGCATAGAAAGGCATGTCAAACCTCATTGAAATAAGCCCAGAGTTTGTGAATGAGCTCTATGTATCAAATTTGACGTGTGGAAATTGAAAATGTTTATGACTGTCACATAAAAAATGCCCTCTCTCTCTCACATTTGCGGCAGCTTGGCCTCCTAAACACGACCAACCACCAAAAAAGGGGCAAAACAGCAAAAGAAGAATTTTTTTTTTTTTTTTTCGATCTTAGCAAAAGAAGATTTTAGTTTATGAAATAACAGACTTATCTCAATTTTTCGTTCTAGCAATTGATACATAAAAAACATAAAATTAATCATCACTTAATCCAAACTAATATTGACTCGTATACAAGGAACCATACCTCTAATTCTCTATCTACTTGAGTTCTGTCCTTCACACAGCTATACAATTGTGAACGCAAAATAAAGGGTTGAATTGAGACCTGAAATCACATCAAACAAAGTAGAGACTGTGAATTAAAATCGCACAAAATCTTCAAACTTTATCACAAGATCAATTCCCAATCAGCCAAAAAAAAAAAAAAAGGCTCAAAAAGCGATAATAATAGAATTGAGATAGAGAGAGCGCAATAAAACCTTGTCAATGTGGGGAAATTGAGCTCGTATTATCCGCAGCGCTACCAACGTATCACTAAATGTGAGACTTTCCTCTTTATTTGAGACCCCAACCAAAAGAGAGAGAAAAAAAATTATAACTAGAACAGAAATTGAAAGCATTTTGTTTTGGATTAAAGAGAGAGAATGAAAGCAATTGAGATATGAAAAGTTAATTTACCGAGCGATGGAGTTGGATCAGTATCGCTAGTTTCAGTTCCAATCACTTCTTCTTCTTCTTCGCGAAGGCGTTTTCTACCTTTTGATGATTCTGAAATCTGGTTCATGTTTTTGTTTATATTGTTTGAGGTACTGAGAATCCCTAAATTTTAAATCGGTGCCGTTAGTATCTCAACGGATTCTTCGTTCGCGCTCAGGCCTTCTCCCTCTTTTTCACTTGCAGCTTGCGAATAGTCAAACGACTTGCCGGGGAGGGGGTGAAATTATTCCTACGTTGACATGGGACAGACGACATCCCTTTTCGTGCACCCTGAGGGCATAATGGTAATTTAGAAAAGTGAGAAAGGTCAAGACTTCATAGACGAACGAAGGCGAAGCAACGCAAAATACTTGTTTAACATCACCTGTGTAATATAGCATCTGGTATCATCATTGCTCGCAATCTCTCCTCTTGGGTACGTTTCTGTTTTTCCTTTTCTTCTTTCTTCTTCTTTTTCTATAATCTTGAATTTTTTTTAACATGGTGTTCGTTGCTGATTACATTGAAAAAAATTTCAATGGTGATTACTGGGTTGAAGGGGTTGTAGTGAGTGAGTAAAAAGCTTGCAGGTCATCTTCAGCATCTAATTGGAGTAAACATTTATTCTTTGGCTGATATTTTACATGGGCATTTCTTTTCCCTCGTACTGTTTTGATATATTTTCTGAAGTTACTTTCTCAATTTCTTGTTTTATATGTTTGTTTATTTATGGTGACTGAAAAATACCAGACTGATACAATGTTCGGATCTTTTTAAGTCTAACTATGCTAGAAGGATATTTTTAATCAATTGTAATTTGCTGGTAAGTGGTGTGATGCCTTTAGTGTTAGTAAGAAATCATTTACTGATGGATTAGTGAACCCGAATGTTTCTTAATGACATTATCTTGTTTTTTGATTTTAGCAGAACCCTTGAAAATAGAATTTCGTTACTTCCCCCCTGTAACACCTTACATGGAAATTGAATTGTTCCAACTTCTGATTAGTCCTTTCTCTTGCAAGTGCTCTAACTCTTTTGAGAAATATATAGAAACAGAAGAAAAATAATTAGGATTTTCATGTTTCTTCAACCACTACCATGTAAGCTATGGATCAGAATAGATTTGGAATTATACCAGGGTTTACTAGTGATGATTCATGCTTAATATTTTGGGCAAGTTGAAATAGCCTTTTTGTTTAATTCATTTCATGCCTATTTTGACACACTTCATTTTATGGTTTTGCTTCTTTTATTTGTTGTTGCACATGAACATTTATGGGATTTACATTTATGGAATTTCCTTTGAGCAATTGATGGAATATTGGTGCAGGCGATTAAAGTACTTTTCTGGAACATAGAGTTATTTGGTTAAAATATGCTTTAGTGCCTTTCATAGCAATATAAAGTTTGCATCTGATATCATTGTCTACTTTCTTGCTAGGCTTAAGAGTTCTGATGGGGATAAAGCGCAAAAGAACTGGTCAAAAAAATGAAATTGCAGACAAACTTTCAGCCCCACCTGGTTTTGTGTCTCTGACATCCTTTAAGTTGAAGAAAATAGAAAGTAATGAACCAACCAGCCATTCCATGGCCTCTGGAAGTACGTCCAAAGAAAATCCAGTCCAGATGGATTCAATATATGACGGAATTGATGTTGCATCATTGAAGAGATCTTTTTGGCATCGACCATGGATGCTTGACGATCAGAACAATCAAAAACAGGAGGAATCTGATTCTGAACAAGTTTTCATGGTTGTATATCCTTCCCTTCTTTTCCTCTCCTTTTTTGGTTTTATGTTACTGTGTTATTAACTTGATGAACAGTGCAGGAGTTATTGGGACATTAAGCATGCATTATATGGAACTGTTTATATGTTGTTAGTCATGGAGTAGTGGGGGATAAGCTGAGTGCTGATGGTGTCGATGAGTAAAAGATTGTAACTGCATAAAATGATGAAATAGTGGGCAGGCTCTCTTGTAATGGCTTTTAGGGGGTGAGGAGCGGAGTACATGTGTACTGCTATATTTCTGTCTTATGGTCTAGTAAGCACATTAATTACCTCTTGTTGACTGATGCATACGCCCCCCCAAGTTGAAGAAAATAGAAAAGTAATGAACCAACCGAGGCCCATTCCATGGCCTAGAGATCAGAGCACGATTACGGCATATATGGCGCATAGACAATCCATATAGTGCTGTGCATAGGACTGAACGGGATTGAATGTTGATCATTGAAGAGATCTTTTGCACGATTTCCATGGTGCTTGACGATCAAGAAACAAATCAAAACAGGAGGAATCTGATTCTCGAACAAAGTTTCATGGTTGTATCTTCCCCTTCTTTTCTCTCCTTTTGGTTTTATGTTACTGTGTTTTAACTTGATGAACAGTGCAGGAGTTATTGGGACACTTAAGCATGCATTATATGGAACTGTTTATCAATGTTGTTAAGTCATGGAGTAGTGGGGGATAAGGCTGATGCTGAAAGGTGTCGATGAAGTAAAAGATTGTAAACTGCATAAAATGATGAATTAGTGGGCAGGCTTCTCTTGTAATGGCTTTTAGGGGGTGAGGAGCGGAGTACATGTGTTACTGCTTATATTTTCTGTCTATGGTCCTAGTAAAGCAATTAATTACCTTCTTGTTGACTGATGCTACGCCCTCCCCGCAAAAAAAAAAAAAAAAAAAAAAAAGAAACGTTGGGCCGGTTTGTAAAAAAAAAAAAAAAAAAAAAAAAAAGAAACGCCGGTTGTATATGTTGATATATTTCTATAAGAAAAAATATTCACATTGGCATTTGTGCTAATTCTACGTAAAATCACTATTTCATGGTACCTCTTGATAGAAGTTTTCTCTCAATCTATGTGAATAAAGGGAAGCATTTTGCAATGGTCAAAATACATGTAGAAATACAAACAACATGAATTGGACTAAAGATTTTTCACTTTCCTTTTCTTCCCCTTTTTGGTTATTAAAATAATTATTTTATGACATTGAATTCTTTGCGCAGGATTTTCCTCCAAGAAAATGCCTCCCGAAAGGGGTTGTCCATGGATGCCCAGATTGTAGTAATTGTTTGAAGGTCAATATTCATCATTAATGTATTATTTTCTACTAAATTTTAACAGTAAAATGTTTCTGTCCCAAGCATCAATTTTCATGCTTGGTGATAATTTATTGAAGCTTTGGAACAGGTAATGGCTAGGTGGCGTCCAGAAGATGCAAGAAAAGATATCCTTGAAGAGGTTCCTGTTTTCCACCCAACCAAAGAGGTCTTGCTCTTCCAACTGTAATAAATAATAACTGGTTCAGCTTTCATTCATATATTCTTAACCTCCTTAGAGCCCACACATGTGGGGGTGCTTCATGCACTAGGTCGCCTTTTATCTATGTCTGTCTTGAAGTGGTTTAGCTGGAAGAAATCTCAATTTCTGAAGGAGCGTGAACTTTTGACTGCAGGAATTTAGAGACACATTAAAGTATATTGCAAGTATACATCACCAAGTAGAGCCATATGGAATTTGTCGTATCATTCCTCCCCCTTCATGGAACCCTCCCTGCCTTATTAAGGAGAAAAAAGTTTGGGAAACAACTCCTTTTGTTACACATACTCAACGGGTAGATGGGTTTCAAAATCAGTATATACAGGGAAAATTGGCTAGAATTTGTGAGAATGGAGGCTGTAAGAGGAAAAGCAGCTTCAAGATAGATTTGGACCACAGAGTTGGTGATGGATGCACCATTGATCCTGATGGAACTGGATGCTCCCATGTTGAGGGCTTTGAATCTGCAACTGGTCCGGAATTTACTCTTGAGGCTTTCAAAGCATATGCAGATGATTTCAAGAGCCAATATTTTTCTGTCAGAAGTAAGGTTGTGGGTTCAGATGTGCACCCCACTGTGCATCAAGAGAAATGGGAACCATCATTGGATATTATTGAGGGTGAATATAGACGAATAGTTGAGAACCCTACTGAAGAAATTGAGGTAGCACATCAAATTTAACTGTATTTTCTTCTATTTTCTTGCATAGCATGTATTATCATTCTGGTGTGCTGTTTTAGGTGCTTTGTGGAGCAGACCTGGACACTGGAGTTTCTGGCAGTGGATTTCCTACTAAATCCAGCTTCTCAATATCCGATTGCCATGAATATTTGAAATCCGGCTGGAACTTAAACAATACACCTAGGCTTCCGGGCTCTCTTCTTTCTTTTGAAAGCTATAAAGTTTCTGGTTGTCTAGTGCCAAGACTAAATATTGGAATGTGCTTCTCATCATTTGGTTGGGTAAGAGAAAATTTTTTGTTGCCGGAGAATAAGTTGGTTTGTTATGATTATTTTACCACATATTTGTTTGGAACTGGAAATACTTTCTAATCTACAATGAATTGTCAATAATGGCTGCACTTGTCTATATTATGAAAATAGCAGCCCCCTCTATTATTGGCATTTTTTTATTCATTTAGCTAATCTTTTGAAGAACAGAATGTTGAAGAGCACCACTTATACTTGCTTTGTTACATGCATTTTGGTGCCCCTAAAATATGGTATGGCATCCCTGGGAGATATGGTATCAAGTTTGAGGCTGTTATGAAGAAAGACCTTCCAGATATTTTAGTGGAACAGCCCAAATTGCAGGACAGGCTGGTGAGTTATGGTAACCTTCTATATTTTGAGTGCATAATGCAATGACTCTGTCTAATAAGCTGTACAGTATGCACAAATGTCTCTTCAGCTTATTTTTTCACTGTATTTTTAACTTGTAATTTCTTGACTCATGCCCTTTACTATGATGAAATTTATTTTTAGTTTTGGCTTGTCACTTCTTAGGTTCGTTCCTGTGACTTTTTCTGATGTTTGGCATGTGAAAATGTTTCAGATGAAAATAAATTTTGTTTCTTTTTTTTCCCATGATACAGGCCACTAAACTATCTTCATGTGCATTGAAAGACTCAGGCATACCTGTTTATCGTTGCATTCAGCATCCTGGGGAGTTTGTTCTTGTCCTTCCAGGAGCATATTATTCAGGAGTTGATTCTGGCTTTAATTGTGCTGAATCAGTAAATGTTGCTCCAATTGACTGGTTACCATATGGACAGAATGCTGTAGAACTGTACTGTGGATGGGGGAAAAAGACATTAATTTCCCATGATAAGATATTGTTGGGTGCAGCAAGTGAAGCTGTAAGGGCATGTTGGGAAATTTCACTGTTGAGGAAGAACAATTTAGATAATTTAAGATGGAAAGATGCTTGTGGAAAAGATGGTATCTTAGCAAAATCGCTTAAGGTAAGTTAAGCCCCAACATTGATTTTCTCAATTTTTGACGACTGTTGAAATGGTTTTTTCTTTGACACTTGACTCCTTCTTCTTCATGTCTGTCCCCTTTTTACAGTTGTCTTGTATTTTGTATTTTGAATTTGACATACAATACCCTTTCTAAAATGTGGCTATAGCAACAGGCTTGATCTCTTCTTAATTTGGTCCATTTGTGCAGTCACGTGTGAAGTTCGAACACAGTAGAAGGGAATACCTTTGCTACTCTTTACAGTCACAGAAGATGGACAAAAACTTTGATGCTTCAAGCAAAAGGGAATGCAGTATATGTTTCTACGATTTACATCTGTCTGCAGTATGGTGTCCGTGTTCTGCTGATAGATATTCATGTCTTAAGCATTCAAAGCAACTATGCTCCTGTGCTTGGAGCGAAAAGATCTTTCTATTTCGTTATGAAATGAGCGAGTTAAATACTCTTGTTGAAGCCGTGGAAGGAAAACTAAGCGCGGTCTACAAATGGGCTAAAGAGGTTCTTAAACTATCTCTATTCTACTCCATCTCTGAAGATAGTGCACAACCACTGAGGCCTACAGGCAATCTGGTGCCTCATGTAAAAGAATCAGGAGCAGGAGAGCACACATCCCAACGTGCAACAACAAACAGGGATACTGTTTCAATCATCAGGGAAGAAATGAGGGCACGGCTGCTCCATGCAAGATCCTCGAATGTACAAAAGCCAAAGCAGAACATAACAGCATCTACATTTGTTTCAACTGCTGCTGCTGTTGATAATGATTCTTTATTACTATCAACATCAGAAAGTACAAGCTCAAGTTCATCGGAGTAAAGGACATCATATATTTGCAAGAAGCCATCAAATTCATCAGAGTGAAGGAGATCAGATATATGCAAATTTTGTGGCTTCGTGTAAAACATTCCTGCTTGCCATCCTGAAGCAGAATTCATGTTGCACCAGTATCCATGTGGTACCTTTAGTACATACAACTTGGCAACTTGCTTGCAGTTCCAGTCAGGAAGGGGATTTTATTAGGCAAAGAAATGAAAGTTTTCCTCTTGGCGTGCAAAGTCGAGAAAATGTTACTAAGTCTGCTTAATGGTTTATTAACAACCATCTGCAGCGTTATCCATCATAGCAGTCTCGATTTATTAATGACGAAATGATCTTCAGGTGATAGAAAAGCTGACTTGTTGTTGTATGCTTTTTCCTTCTGTTTTCTCTTTGTTCTTTTTGCATTCCTTTTATCCAAGAACTTAGGCATTAACGATGGATTATGTTGGATTAAGTATATTATAAAATATATTGCTTAGGACTTAAGGTGCATGATAAAGACTTCCCATTTTTTTTATTTTCTTTCTCTTCTGCTAATTCCCACTTCTCTTTTCTTTTTTTAAACTGTTAAGTGTTTTTTTTTTTTTCTGTGGACTGTTGTGTTTCATTTGATCCTCACATTTCCTGCAGCCAAACATAGCATTCAAGTCTTGCTTGATTTAGCTGTAAAAATCGTTTTAAAAAAAAAATTTTAATAGCTTACTAATCAAATAATTTCATATTAATTCAATTTATTTTTATGTTAGAAAGTCAAACAATACTTCATAATTAGATTATTAATATACATTTGTTAAGTCCCTTCTGTCAAAGAAAGCAGTTTTATTTATTGTTGTAGTAAATTATATATTTCATTCTCAAAGAAAAACATTATGTATTTATTACCAATAAATAAACATAACGAAATAAAAAAGAAAAGAAAACATACATTACCCCTGCTATATGACAGAAAGATGCTAAATATCTAAACATAAATCACTGGATGGTTCTACATTACCACATGAAATAAACATCCTCTATACAGAATACATCGAACCCACATTCGATTTACATATAATGGTGCAATAGGACTGCAAAAGATCCCCTGCCAGGGATAAATTCAAGTTCTAATATCTGGAAAGAATCGCCCTAAAAAAAATTGGAATGCTAACATGATAAAAAATTATAATGATAGCACTTATTTAATGAATCAAAGACCAGCTGAAACTAATCCATGCAAGGTAACAATGCCAATCAAGATATTTTGCTGATTGATCACAGGCAAAAATTGCACAGGGGATGGTGGTGATTCCATCTTTTTCATCGCTTCCACCGCCATTGCATCTGGACCGATTGTTCTTGGGTTCCTGAAACAGCACATAGATTAAATCCTATTACAATTTGCCATAATTAGCAGAGAAATATAGAAACAACAAACTTGTGGTCATAAAAGCATTTAGTAAAGCATGCTACAAAAACAGAGCAACACTAATCATTTCTTGGGTTACAGGCTTGTAGCATTAGCATCTGACTTTGCTTGCCAAGCACCTTTTATCTTGAAAATTACTTGTAAGCAAGCCAGATCTAGGATGAATAAGTTCCAAAAATAATATTCTATAGACAAAATAACCATATATATCTACATTTTCTTTATTTTACCTGTTGCACATTTCCCCCACTGTGAGCTTAAAGATGCCTTCCCCACTAGCCTTGAGAGTACGCCTAAGATCACCATCTGTAAATGTTCCAATCAAGTGATACTCTTCATTAATAACAAGCAGACAGCCACAACCTTTACTTGTTAGCTCAACTAGCTGGTCCATTATCAAATCTCCTTCCCTGCAGACCGGAAGCTCATCTTGCTTCTTCATAACATCTTTTACCTACATGCATACCATTAACCGACAAATTGAGATTCCCTGAGCTCTATTGTTCCATACCACTGGGAATTGTCATCAATAGCATAGCTATAACTAGTTCAAAAATGATGTGGCAAACAAAGAATAAAAGGATGTGAAAACTTCTTTTATGGGTCTATTTGGATAGATTATCGTTATAAATGAATGCAATTTGTGTTTTTAAATGTGAAATCATCAAAAACAACATGATACCTAATCCAAATATCTCAATATGATTAGTTATTCAATAGACTGTAATAGAATTTTAGGGAAAATCTTTTAGTGAAGCAACATATTGGCCTGCACATGGAAAGTGAAATATTGAAGAAGTATCATGGGAAATAATGCATAAACAGGAAACGATATGACTAACTTTAACTTCTCCATTAAACTACAAATATCTCAATCACAAGAAAGCTCGATGGTAACTAGAAATATACCTTGCTAAAATTTCAAGGAACGGCAAAAAAAGTCTTCAGATGAAGAAAATGATTTCTATGCTTCACAATTGTTTTCATTTCATTCTATTTAATGAAGTTGCATTTGCCATCAGAACAAAAGATAGGGGAGATTATTCCATAATAGCATAAAAGAATTCAATTACCGCAACACCGAAAGAATACAACAATATAATGCCGCCAATTTTTACAAATTGCAACCCAACTACCAACCAAATGCAATTGTAAATATACCAAATGTCTACTAATCCAGTCCAATCAAGAATAATTGTACCTTTATCTCCAACAATAATATGAAATTAGCAATATTGAATCCTTTAATATTCCCAAAATTATAAAACCATTTCAGTAATTCTGCACTTGCATTGTCAAATCTGAGCCTACAATTTAACTAATATAAACCAATTTCAATATTTAAGAACAAGTATAACATAATCTAACACAATTAACAGATCAGACACAAAGGCGCACACTTTAATAGAAATCAAGATCTATGAATATCCAATCAAACAAATAATTACCTTAAAAATCAAGCTCTTCCCAATCCTTCCAGCAGGATGATTAGCCGCATACTGATCCTTAGTCAAATTCCTAGCTCCCATAAGAGCAATCGCCACGGTATCCCCAAAAACCATCTGAATAGCCGTAGAAGTAACCGGAGCCAAATCAAACGGACACAATTCCCTCTCCAACGGCAAATGGACATTCATATTACAAACAGCAGCAATCGCATTACCTTCCACAGACGTCACGGACACAAGATAAGCGCCTTTAGCCTTGGCACAAGGAACAAGACGCAACAGCTCCTCAGTGTTCCCAGATTTGCTGAACAGCACGAGAATGTCACGTGACGTGAGGATTCCGATATCGCCATGTAGAGCATCGACGGGAGAGAGGAATCCAGCGCGAATGCCGAGAGAAATAAGGGTCTGAGAAATCTTATTGGCGACGAAACCAGACTTGCCGACACCGGAGAAGAAGATAGTGCCGCGAGAATTGAGGAGTAGTTGAGCGAATGACAAGGTTTGAGAGAGATCAAGGTTTTGAAAGAAGTAATTGAGGTGGTTTTGTTGAGATTTGAAGAGACTGAGAAGGGTGGTTTGGTCAATTTGCTGCTGTTGCGGTTCGTGCTCGCAAATCGGAAACGAGGGAAGGTCAAGCGATCCCATTGGAGGAGATCTGAGACGCAGGAAAGGAGAAAGGAGAGAGAGAGAAAGAGAAGGATAAAATGGAGATCTGGTTTTGTTTTTGAGTTTGGACAGTTAACGCGGGAGCTGTGTGTGTGATCGTTTTGCAGCCGTTAATCCTATTTCGCGGTAAAATAAAATAAAAAATAACTAGTTGTGTCGGTGGACGTGATTTAGCGGCGTTACTGATTTTAAGGTATGTTTGTTTGTGTCTGTTGCTATAAATTACAACAAATATCAAGACGGAGAAATTGCTAAAAGAAAACAAGATTTTAAACAGTACTTCTACTGAAAAATTGTTTTTATTGTTGGAATATAATTTTTTGAAATTTACATGTTTAGATTCGATTTATTAACTCATCCATAAATTAAATTAATAAAAAATATTTTTTTATTAAAATGACGGTATTTCTAATTATATATTAGAAACAGAAAAATATAATATAAACAATTTTTAAAAATTCTTATTTCGATTTCACATCTTTAGAGTCTGAAATGCATGATTTAGATATCAGAATTAAAGTGAATTCATATGCAATCAATTATAATTTCGTTTTAATTTTAGATGATGCTATGCTAAGTTTATAGAGTCTAATGTTTTTTATTTATGTAATTAGCTGTATTGCATTTCCATTTCCCTTTACTAACTCTAATATTTATTTTAATTTATTGAAAATTAAATATATTGAAATAATATTATAATTTACACCCACGAAATAGTTTGCATATTGTTAATTAAATTGAAATGATAGAAGTTAAAAATCAATGCTTTCTTGATCAACTTCATTTTTCTAGTCAATTGTCAACTTTTTTTTTTTTTCTTGTAGATATATTTACTTCAACATTTTCTATTTGTAATAATATATGCATATGGAAAATGTTGAAGCAAATAAACCAAGTTTAGTAATTTTGATGTCATCCTTCAGAAAAAGGAGAGAAAAAAAAAAAAAAAAAAAAAAAAAAAAAATAAAAAAAAAAAAAAAAAAAACAAAAGGAATATATTAGTTAATTGGGCAGTTGGCGCTGGCATCTTCCTTTTAGCATACTAATCCAAAAAAAAAAAAAAAAAAAAAAACAAAAGAATATATAGTTAATTGGGCAGTTGGGCTGGGCAATCTTCCTTAGCATACTAAGCCATGGATGGGCCAATTCACGAGCTACTCGGAAAGACTCTCTTCCTTTTGCCCATTAAAAGCAAGTCCAAGCAGGCCCAAACCAAATGGTAAGGATAATCCAGGCCCAATTTCTGGCATTTTTTTATATTTTCTGGTCAAGCTCCATGAGTTGAAGTTCTCTATATCAAACAAGAAAACAGTATTGACATGAAATTAAATGAGATGAGCACTTTAACTCTCGGTGGACCGATCGGTGTAAGCAGAACTTAGTTCTAGTGTGTGAAAACACTTGAATAATTACTAAAGACCGATGACACAAGAGGTATGGGAGGAAACTTCATTACAATCCCTCCCTAAAAACACAAAACAAGTTCCAAGAACTTGAAATTTTAAAATCACAAACCAAATGCACATGAAAAGGATGAAACAGATTATCATACCCAAGAACTACGGAGTTTAGTAGCTATCATTTTCTTGGAAAATGAATTTTCCTAGAAAACAAAGACAGGACAAACAAAAAAAAGAAAAACTCATCTACTGGGGTCCATAACCCTCTTATATAGATGAGAAGTCATTATCGTCTTATTATTACGTAAGTCTCTAAGGCATCTCTCTCTCTCTCTCCATTATCTTGACCAGAGACCAGAGACCAGACCCCAAAAATAACGGTACAAAGAAACCCTTAACTGTTTCTCTGACTCTGAATATCAAAGTTTCCTATAATATAAATTAAATTAAATAATTTATTTATCTTATCCACCATATCTATGTGTAGCCATAGCCACAGTAAGTAGTACGTACGTCACTGTTTGAATCTTTGTTACGTGAAAGATAAAATAAAAGTTAGAAAAACCAAAAAACTCAAAAATCCCATTATCGGTCTGATCTTGGGGGACCAGACATATACTTGCTTCTACTTTCTTTGCAGAAAATCCGGTGATGATTCAGTTTCACTTGTTTACTGTTTGTATTTCTATTGTTTTTCACCTTTGCAAGCTCGTACTGTGCAATTACGCAGTAAAAACTAGGTTACTTGCTCTAGCTACCTATACCATTTATCTTTGTGAGAATTATAAGTCCTTTATATTTATGATCACTATTTGTCACAGTAATTATTGTTATCATTATGATCTTGGAATATTTTTTTTTTCTCTCTTTTGTTGTTTGTTTCTTTGACTTGGAAGTTATAGGAAGGCTAATGTTCGAATTGCAAGGTTTTGATTTTTTTTTTTTTTTTTCTGGGATTTTCCAGGTTACTTTATTTATCCTTTTCTTTTTAGTAGCCACAAATATCTCCATTCAGCTGGATTAAAAGTAAATCTTGCTCGAGCTGGTCGGCTCACTAATGGGTAAGTGATTTCAACGAGTATTTTCTTTAACATAAGGATCAAATCGCAGACCTTATTTAACGAAAAGAGTGTTGAACCACTGATTTTTGCTGGTCTGATTTGAACCAAAATGAATAGGGAGAGAGATGCAGAAGAGTATCTGAATTATAGTACTTGTTGAGAAAGAGATATAAGAGAAGAACAAGTACGTACTCCAGCCTAGTAACTTGTTGAAAATGGCAGGCCTCCATCTACATCAACTTAACGAATCAATATAAACATTATAAGCTTATTGGGCAATCTGTCAACATAACAATTAGGCAAGAAGGGAGGTCCCCTCCCATAAACCAAACAAAAAAAACAAACACTCACAAAATACAAGATTGTCGGTTAATGCATCTCATAGTATCATTGCAGAAAATAATTGCGCTTCACGTTCCTAAAGAAAGCAAGAAAACCACTCAAGATCACAGAATCAAGTCGTACAATCAGCATCTTGAGAGGGCTTTTAAATATAGCCTGTCTTCAGTCCGAAAGGAAGCACACCCTGGTGAAAAAAAAAAAAAAAAAAAAAAAAATAGCCTGCTCTTCAGTCCGAAAGGGAAAGCACACCCTGGTGAAAAAAACAAAAAGATTAAAAAAAAAAGAACAGAAAAAAACCGATCCCACGTACTATTTATGTTTTTATTACTTAAAACGGATAAAAATTCATTTCTTCCAAATTTCTAGAAATTTATAAGAAATTTAGATTTGCATAAAATTGCAATATTACAATAATGCAACCAGAAATATTAATATAAACCTGCAGTATATAACCATATTCATGGAAGGTTATTTATTTACTACTTTTCATATCTAGTAATGATACTAGTCTTCCATTTGTACCTTTATATTCTGCTCCTTTTTTGTCCGTTCTACCATAATATTATAAACTTTTAATATTTATTAATTTTAGGATAGAATGTAGTGTAGTAGTATCATTGGATTGTGGCCATAAACATTTGTTTTCATTTAAGCATCTGCCGATACTATTAGAAAGTGAAAGAAAACTAAATTAATTTTGTAATCTCTTAATGCTAAAAATTTGGGAAGAGGATGATCTTTGTAAAAAAAAAAAAAAAAAAAAAAGAAAAGAAAAAACCGATCCCACTATATTATGTTTTTATTACTTAAAAGGAAAATCTTTTCTTTCAAATTCTGAAAATTTATAAGATTTAGATTGATAAATTCAATAATTAATATCAACCAAATTAATTATATAACTGCAGTATTACCCATATGCATGGAAGGTTATTTATTTTTGAACTATTCATATACAGTATGAATAGTTTCATTTGTACCATTTTATTCTGACTCCTTTTGTCCTCTACCATAATAATATAAACTTTATTATTATTAAATTTAGGTATGTGTATATATATGATGGGCCATAAACATTGTTCATTTAACATCTGCAATTATATTAGAAAGTGAAAGAAAAACTAATTAATTTGTAATCTCTTAGATGCTAAATTTGGGGAAGAGGATGATCTTGTTGATCAATGGAAATTTAATTATCTTTTATAATAAATGATTAATTGATATTGACAATGATAGATGGAACGAACGTTTGCCTTGTCTGACAAGTAAACATAGCTATAGAAAGAAAGAAAGAAATGCACTTTGAGAAGCATATTCAACTTTAGCACAAAATTAAAGGAGTTTGATGTGATATTATGAAAAGAAAAATGAATAAGATGATACCATGACAGGATACGAGAATATATATATATATATATATTTGATTTATAAAAAAAATTTTGAAAATTTTATAAATATCAGTATAAATTCTATTATTAGTATAAACCAGTTAAGTTTGAATCTGTCGTACTCGATTTGAAATTTGATAAAATTAAAAATTTTAAATTTAAACTCAATTTAAAATATAAATTTAATTTAAAAACTTATATATATATATATATAAAAAGTTGAATAAAACTCGACTCGATTCAAGCTAAATTTTTCTAATTTTTTTCTAATCGAATTCCACCGATTCGCGAGCTGCGTTAGCTCATTTACATTCCTATGCTCTACTTCCATACAATCCAAAAGAGCCACAAAACAATACAAATATTATACAGAGAAGAAAATTGCAAATGGTGTGGGACCCATCCAGAATCTCATTAACTGTTACAAAAATACACTGCATCCAATTTGACAAGACGGATCGTTTCTTACAATCAAGTTTTTCTTTTCCTTTTTAGTTTTAATTTATTGTTTTCTTATACAAATTAAACTAATTAATTTCGTATGCAAACAAAATAATTTTTTTCTTAAAAGAAAAACAATTCCTTTTTATTCCAAGTCGAGGAGTTTCCGTACAGTAAGGTCTAATCCAACCGCTAAAAGTGGAAGTAAATGGGACCCATAACACCTCAAACGTCTAAGATTTTGACTGAGGGGGACCCACTTTTCATATTTAATAACAATAATAATCAAAGAAATTAGAGATAAAAAGAAAAAAAGCAAGAGGCTGTGATTTGACGCGACAGTGATATTGTACGGTTACACGACGGTCGAAGCTACGTGGATCCCAGCTCTGACAGTATGACACGTGGCAAATGCATGTATTGGATTTGGACTGGAGTTCATGTCAAC